GTACTAACAGTCCCAATCGGGAGCAAGGAGCACTGAAGAATGGGATTGGTAGGACGATCGCGGCGCACCGAAGCCACTAGCGGCGCCCGCCCCCGCGGAACGGAGGGGCAGAGGCCTTTGAATGGGCGGGCGCCCCGAGCTGTGCAAAGAGCCCGTCTGCACTATAAAAATTAAATCACGCGCGACCGATCGACACGGGGGGAGAAGGAAAAGCAAACGCGGGAGGCGAGGGCGGGGAGGCGGAGCACCGCACCACTACCATCTGACGCCATCCCCCCAGAGGGGGCCACAAGCCCCAGGAAGGCAGGACCGCCCTCGACGACGACGACGACGACGACGACGACAACGACGACGACGGCGGCGACGACGACGACGCCGACGACGACGACGGCGGAGGCGGCGGCAACGACGACGGCGGAGGCGGCGGCGACGACGACGACGGGAGAAGAGGGGAAGAGGAAGGAAGGAGGGGGCCGCAACAGCGGAAGGAACGGGGGGAGAACGGAGCGGCCCCCTGCCACCCCAGGCGCGGGGCCCCCAGGGGGAGGCGGTGGGGCGGACCAAACGCGCCACTCACGGACCGGTGCTGGCGTTGTCGCTGGTGCAGGCGCTGGCGTTGGTGCCGGCGTCGGCGCAAGCGTTGATGCAGGTGTCGGCGCTGGCGTCGGCGCTGGCGCAAGCTCCAGCGCGCGCTCCTGGGGCACCGGTGAGCCGCGCAGCTCACCGGTGCGCTGGTGTCGGGGCTGGCGTCGGCGCTGGGGTGGGCGCTGGTGCTCGCGCTGGCGTCGATGCTGGCGTTGTCGCTGGTGCATGCGCTTGCAATCGGCACTAGCATGTTTACTGGCGTAGCGTTGGCGCTGGCGTCGGTGCCGACGTCGGCGTTGGACGTCGGAGCGGGGGAGTCGGGGTTGGCGTTGGGACTGGTACCAGCGACCAGGCTGGAGGGGACACCGGTGAGCTGGGCAGCTCATGCACCCTTGCTGCTATTGTCGATGCTGGCGTCGGCGCTGGTGGAGGCGCTGGCGTTGGTGCCGGCGCAGACGCAAGCCCAAGTGCTGGCGTCGGCACTGGTGTCGGTGCTGACGTCGGCGCCATCGTTGGTGCTGGCGTCGGTGCTGGTGGAGGCGCTGGCATCGACGCCGGCGTCGGCGCTGGCGTCGGCGCTGACGCAGGCGCAGCGTCGCGCGATAGGTGGGGCAGAATTCCGTGACGCACCAACTCCGTGACATTTAGACTCTGCGCCGGATCCGCAGGAGCTTCAAGACGCATCGAGCATGTTATGAATTTCGGAGCCAGCATCCGCATCTGCCCGCCAGCAGGTCACGAAAATGTCACGAATTTCGGTGCCAAAAAAATGTGATGCTGGCGCTGGCGTCGGCGCTGGCGCAGGCGCCGGCGCGCGTTCCTGGGACGCCGGCGGCCTGGGCAATTAGCTTACAGGCGCGCTGTCGTCGATGGTGGCCGCAGCGCTGGCGCAGGCGCTGGTGCTCGCGTTGGCGTCAGTGCTGGCGTCGGCGCTGGTATAGGCGCTTGCGTTGGCACCGGCGTCGTTGCCAGCGTGGCTGCTGGCGTCGGCGCTGGCGTCGGCGCCGGCGCAGAAGCAAGCGTGCGCGCCTGGGGCGCCAGTGAGCCGCGCCGCTCACCAGTGCGCTGGTGTCGGCGCTGGTGTCAGCGCTGGCGTGGGAACTGGCGCACGTGCTGGAGTCGGCGCTGACGTCGGCGTGGGTGCAGGTGCTTGCGATGGCGCCGGCGCAGGCGCAGGCGTTGATGCTGGCGTCGGTGCTGGCGTCGGCGTTGGCGTAGTCGCCAGCGTGCGCGCCTTGGGCACCTGTGCGCCGAGCAGCTGGCGCCGGCGGTGGCGTCCGCGCTAGTAGGTGCTGGCGCCCGTACTGGCATCTGTGCTGGCGTCGGCGCCAGCGCAGGCGCTTGCGCTGTTGCTGGCGCTGGCGCAGGCGCAGACGTTGATGCCGGCGCGGGCGCTGGCGTCGGCGCTGGAGAAGGCGCCGGCGAGCGCTCTTGGGACACCCGTGCGCCGGGCAGCCCACCGTTCGGTGCGCTGGCGTCGGTGGTGGCGTCGGCGCTGGCGTAGGCGCTGGTGCTCGCGCTGGAGTCGGCGCTGGCGTCGGCGCTGGTGTAGGCGCGTGCGGCGCAGGATCCGGGCGCGGAGCGCGCGCGTGCTGGACGGTGGACCGGCCCTGCCGCGCGCTGGATACCCAGCGCGCTGCCCCCCCTCGAGGTCGCGGGGCGCAGCGTGCTGGAGTCCATCGCAACGCCTCACTCGAAGTGCCCCCAGCCATGCTGCATGCGGTCATCGTCAGGGCGTCGATGTAGACGTCAGTACTGTTAGTCTGGGGAGGCTTCGGTGTTCTCGTCGCTGCTGGTGTAGAGGTTCTGTATGCGCCAGGGCTGGCGCCGGCGTCGATGCCGGCGACGCTGCTGATAGAGGCGCTGGCGTTGGTGCCGGCGTAGGCGCCGGAGTTGGTATCCGGGTCGATGCTGGCGTCGATGGTGGCGCCGGCGTTGGCGCTGGCACTGGCACTGGTGCTGGCGCCAACACGCAGGCGCAATGATGAAGGTCTGGACCAAAGGCTTGCCGAAGAAGGCATTGTAGGGCTGAAATTGGCGCGCGCTGGTGTTAATGCGGGCATCGACGTCGTCGTCGGCGCTGGCGCGGCGTTGGCGTCGTTGCCGGCGTAGGCGCGGAAATGAAATTAGGCGGGAAGTCTGGACCAAAGCCAACGCCAGTGCCGGCGTTGATGCCGGCGTCGGCGCACTCGGAGTCGGGGCACCAGAGACCCTATCGGCGTCGACGCAGGCGTTGTCGGGCACGCCGTCGGAAACTTGTCTTCTAAGGATCGCGGCCGCAGCGGCGTTTGGAAACAATCGGATCGGATCGGATCGCCCGCGCGGGCATGCGCCGGGGCCCCTGGAGGGCGAGGCGGGTGAGACTATGGCCTCGCATGAGAGGCAGCACGCGTCGGAGGCTTGCTCAGGATAATGCACACCTCGCAAGTTGATGTTCCAATTGTTCCCACCCCTCTGTCGTAATCCGATGTAATGACGTAGTTTCGTTGAAGTTGTAGTGTCTGCAGCGTGAACCTGTCGGAGAATCCCGTGGATGTCATCACCGTTTCTGTAACCGCGAAGCCCAAGCCAAACACGAACGAGTTGAACGCCTCGGAACTCCAATCCAGTGCACACGGGCGCTGGATCGATCGTGTTCTCACGAGCTATTTGACACATCCTTCAGATACCACTCAGGGCACATATGCACACGCCGCCGAAGGCCCATGAGGCTAGACATTTGAAGTCGGGATGCTGTCCATCAGTCACTCCACCAGCATGTTGCGGTCCACCGCTTAGTCTGATCTGTGCAGTCTGTGCTTGCAAGAGACGTGAAACATACTGTTCCAATATAATATCCATGCCCAAAGGGATGTGGTCTCTGTGTCCTCTCGCACTGATATTCTGCAAGTGTTTGCCATTTCTCTCAGTGCAGCGCACCTTCGCACGTGTGGTGAAGCCCCCGTCGGTATCGCTACGTGGTCGATACTGCTCGCCCTCATCTTCTCGTCTTTCACGCAGTAGTAAGTTGGCCCACGATCGAAGAAAGTCGTGGCTACTGACAATAAGCGATGGACACAAAACTCCCTGAAAACGGTGCCCCGATCGTTCCACACCTCCTTGGCTACTGGCCCCAATGCTGCTGCATGTTTGCCCGAGCTATGTCTGCTTACCACCAGATCCTTGCTGACCTGTGCATTTCCAATTGGCTGTTGATGTCCCCTCCCACTATGCTAGTAGATATGCCAACCGTGTCGTCACACATTTCTTCCACCCAATTCATATTTTTTGGGAGTCAACCCATTGTCTGCGCACCCTCTCCCTCTCCCCGGCGGCAAGCACGTCGCGAATATTGTGACGTCGTAAGCTCTCGTGCGCGGCCTAATCCCTGCAGCTCTCCCGTGCAGTTGTGCCGGTGGTGTGTGCTGCGTGTGGAAGGCCTTGTGTTTCATCATCCCGTTGGACACCAGGAACGTAGTGCCGCATGACTTGGTGACCCATTTTCCCTTCTTTGCCCCGAACTGCAGTGCCACATAATATCTATGATTCGTCTTCCTCATCTGCTTTAGCCCTGCCCACTGATGCGCCCCTGTCAACATAATCACATCCCGATCTCGTAGTGAACCGCTAATCCCACCAGCCCTCTGGGCGTCGGTGGTTTAGAGCGTTTCCTCTTCCACCCCTCCTTCTTCCCCTTCGGGGAGGGGTTTACCCCTCCCCCTACCCCCTCCCCACTGACCTGGACAGGGGGGGCGGGGAGCGGTGAGAGCGTCCAAAACGGCCTCGCCGAGGAAGCCAAAATCATTGATTTTACTAAGGTTTTGGCCCCATTTTGGCCCCCAGAGGGGGCAGCACTAATTGAAGCTCCCCTCTTCTTTGATCGATTTCCTCCTTGATGGCCCCAAGAAGCGCCCAGGAGGCACCAAGAGGCCCCAAGATGGCCCCAAGATGGCCCCAAGAGGCCCCCAGGAGGCCCCCAAGAGGATCCCAAACGGCCCAAAGAGGCCCCCCCGAGGCACCCAAGACGCCGAAAAGCCCCTCAGGACGACCCTCTACTCGCCTGGGCGTCGTTTCTGGACGGGCTGGTGGGGATACGCGAAGCGTCTAGAATTTCTTCCAGTCTGTCCGTGGTATTCGCTGCCAACGGGTTGTACAATACCAGTGCACATATCGAGAACACTGCAAGCGCCATCTACCTGCCATGCCCCCCTGGCTCCCTCTCTGGCCCGTGCGAGTGCGGGGCGGTAGTCGCGCGAGAGAGTTTTAATAAAATCCTCTTTCTGGCGGTTCTGAAAATTCTTGAGCCTCCAACGCCGACTATGACTCATGACCAGAAGGAGGGGGAGGAGGAGGAGGAGGAGGAGGAGGAGGAGGAGGAGGAGGAGGAAGAGGAGGGAGAGGAGGAGGTGCGCGAGCGGGGAAACCACGTGCGGGTCCTCTCGCGCGCCAGAGTTTCCGCGCGCTGCCCCCGCGGCGGAGACGCCCGCCACATGGCCCGAGCTGGCGTCTGCGGCGCTCCTCGGGGCCCTCTGCACCTGCGCGGGGGAGCGAACCCTGGGGTTGGCGGCGCGCACAAGGGGAACGCATGAAAAGCGACCCCTGCCCCCAACATGAGGAACTTTAGACCAAGTGTACGGCAATGGCCTCGCTTACAGGGCGACTGCACTTCACCGTCGCCAAAACTGCAAAGCATCGACGTGCAAAATCAATAGTTGTAGGGGCTGGGGGTCCGCTTCCCACTGTTCACAAGGAGGTAGGGGGAGGGGGGAAGGGCTGCTCAGAAGGAGGCTGCTTCTTAGAAGACGCGGGCCTTACACCCACAGACAAGGCCCACGTCTTCTAAGAAGCAGCGGGTGATTCTAAGAAGCCTCCCCCCCTCCCCTCACACCCCGCTGTAGAAGTCAAAAAATCCCCCCCCCCCCCCCCAGAATAACCACCCCGACTCGCGAAGTCGTTTAGCAAACGGGCCCAACGAAGGAATCAAACAGGGCAGGGCTGTTTAGTAAACGCCCTGGGCCGCTTAGTAAATGCCAATTGTCCGGTCCGGGTGGTTTTCCCTCCCTTGACTCTGCGCTTCCAGAGGCTCGGGGCAGCTTCTGGGGGCCCCCGCTCGGCCCTGGGACTGCCAAGGAACGGCCGAGAAGGCAAAACCGACCCTGGGGAAAGGGCCCAAGCGTTCACAAGGACTCCCAACTTCGCGCTTCGCGCTGCGCGAAGCGCGAAGTGCGAATAACTTCGCGCTCTCGCGCCGCCTCCCTGGGGAGAAGAGGAGGGTGAGGAGGAATCGGAGCCGAACCGCGAAGCGCGAAGCGCGAATAACTTCGCGCCCTAGAGGGCGCCCTTGCTTCCAGGGGCCCCGCGCTAAACAAAAAACAACGAGCCAGATCTCTGGGCCGAGGTCTTTCCTATGCTGTCGGCGTTAAGTGCCGCTTCTAGACCTCCGGCCAGGCGAGACATCGAGTACCAGCACCGACCCGCCCCCGACACCGAGACATCAAGATATCAAGCTTTACTGTAGAAAATTGCCCCCCCTCTTCCTCCGGAACCCGGGGGTCCCCCCCCACCACCGAAATCCCTCCCCCCCCTGCTGGACCCCCCCCCATCCCCCGGCACCCCCCCCCCCCCCCCCCTCCCCTAACCCCCCCCCCCCCCCTCGAAAACCGGGGGGGGGTTCGAACCCCCCCCCCCCCCCTCGAAACCGGACGGGGGGTCACTACCGGTTCGAACCCCTCCCCACCCCACCCCCACTCACCGCCAGCAAACGACTCCCGGTCCCTACCACCGTCCGCATCACATCCCCCACTGTTGTTCCCAGCACCACTGTCCTCACCACCACTGTCCCCACTGGTTCCACCACCGTCCCTACTGTCCCCACCAGTGCCCCCACCACTGTCGCACTGTCCCCACTGTCCCCACCACTGTTCCCACCACGGTTCCACTCTCCCCACTTTCTCCACGGCCCCAACCACTGCCCGACTATCCCCACTGTCCCCACTGTCCCACTGACTCCTCCGCTGTCCCACTGAGCTGTCCCACTGTTCCCACCACTGTCCCCACTGTCCCCACCACTGTCCCCACTGTACCTCTGTCCCATTGTCCCACCGCCGTCCTCGCCACCGCCTTCACCACTGTCCCCACCACCACTGTACACTCCACTGTCCCACTGTTTCCACCTCATTCCCACTGTCCCCACACCACTGTCCCCACCACCACCGTCCCCACCACTGTCCACTGTCCCCACTGTTCCCACCATTGTCCTCACCACTGTCCCAACCACTACAGTCCCCACCACTGTCCCACTGTCCCCACCACTGTCCTGCTGTCCCCTCACCACTGTCCCCACCACCACCGTCCCCACCACTGTCCGCACCCCCCCTCGGTTTTCGAGGGGGGGGGGGTTCGAACCGGTAGTGACCCCCCCCGGTTTTCGAAGGGGGGGGGGTTCGAACCGGTAGTGACCCCCCCCCTTTTCATGATGAACTAGGGGGGGGGAGGAGGGGTTCGAACCGGTAGTGACCCCCCCCCGTTTTCCGAAGGGGGGGGGGGAGGGGTTCGAACCGGAAGTGACCCCCCCCCGGTTTTCCGCCAGCAGCGGTAGAACACGCTCTTTCAGATATCGAGACGTCGAGTCCCCGCCTCGTTCCCAACACTGAGATACCAAGGGATCGCGCGCGCCCGAGCTCCACTGGAACGCCGTGCGACCACCACATCAGCAGTGGTAGGGACAGCGCTGTCCCAAAACTGTCGCCAGGTCTGTGGCTTGCGCGCGGGTGCGCCTGAAATTCGACATCCCCCTCTCAGAGGGAGCGCGTGTCACGTGCACTTGCTTTGGAAACATTCGGCGGCACGTTTGAACTGGGGGGGGGGCCAACCCCCCCCAACGTTCGGCGCCATCGAACAGAACTAGGGGGACTCCTCTCCCCACTTCCCCCCCGCCCGAAGCCCCCCCCCCCCCCGCGAGCGAGGTTGTGGTGGGTTCGAAGCCCCCCGGCCCCCCCACACGGCGCCGGCGCCAGCGCTGGCGTCGTTGTCATCGTCTTCGTCATCGTCGTCGTCGTCGTCGCCGTCGGTGTCGTCGTCGTGCTCGTCGTCGTCGTCACAGTCGTCGCCGTCGTCGTCGTCGCCGTCATCGTCATCGTCGTCGTCTTCTTCATCATCGTGATCATGCTCGTTGTCGTCGTGGTCGCCATCGCCGTCGTCGTCGCCATCGCCGTCGTCGCCGCCGTCGTCGTCGTCTTCGTCGTCGTCGCCGTCGTCGTCGTCGTCGTCATCGTCGCCGTCGTCGTCGCCGTCACCGTCGTCGTCGTCGCCGCCGTCGTCGTCGTCGCCGTCGCCGCCATCGTCGTCGTGCTCGTCGTCGTCGTCGTCGGTCGTCGTCGTCGTCGCCATCGTCGTCGTCGTCGTCGTCATCGTCGCCGTCGTCGTCGCCATCGTCGTCGTCGTCGGCGTCGTCGTCGCCGTCATCGTCGGTTCTCGTCGTCGTCGCCATGATCGTTGCCGTCGTCGTCGTCGACGCCGCCGTCGTCGTCGCAGTCGTCGCCGTCGTCGTCGCCGTCGTCGCCGTCGTCGTCGTCGCCGTCGTCGCATTCGTCGCCGTCGTCGTCATCGTCGTCGCCGTCGTCTTCGTCGCCGTCATCGTCGTCGTTGCCGTCGTCGTCGTCGCCGTCGTCGTCGTCGCAGTCGTCGCCGTCGTCGTCGCCGTCGTCGCCGTCGTCGCCGTCGTCGTCGCCGTCGTCGCATTCGTCGCCGTCGTCGTCATCGTCGTCGCCGTCGTCTTCGTCGCCGTCATCGTCGGTTTTCGTCGTCGTCGCCATGATCTTCGTCGTCGTCGTCGCGTCCGTCGTCGTCATCGTCGTCGTCGCCGCCGTCGTCGTCGTCGTCGTGGTCGTCGTCGTCGTCGTCGTTGTCGTCGGCGTCGTCGTCGTCGCCACCGTCGTCTTTGTCGCCGTCGTCGTCGGTTTTCGTCGTCGTCGTCATCCTCGTCGCCGCCTCCCGCTGCCGCCACCGCCAGCGCCGGCGCTGGCCCTGGGAGGGGGCGGGGCCAGTTCCGAACTCCCCCCTCCTCCAAGCGCCTACAGAAGGCGCCATTTCCCCTCTCAACAGACGCTCGTTGCGACTGGCGCCCGGATGCTTCTGACAAGGCCTGCAGGAAGGGGTCGAGAACTCGGGGACCCGAGGCCCGAACGTATACCGAGAACGCGCAGTCGGAATCGAATCGAATCGGCGGCGCCAGGGCGCACAACAGCGCCATGTAAGCATCGGGCCACATCGCATCGCTCGAACATCGGAGTCGAATCGAATCGGGCCGCACGGAGCTGGTGACGAATTGGATCGATCCGATCGAAATGGGCCCTGCCAAGGTGGGTGCGTTCCCCCCGATCGCCGCCCCGCCCCCAGCACCTCGGGAAGCGCGGAAAAAACATGGGTAGGCTTCGGACGTCTCCCGACCTCCAGGTACAGGTGCGTGGAGGAGACCGCCTGGGAGGCCGCGAACTGCTTGGCGATGTGTTCGGAGAATGTGCCCGAGTCCTGCTGCCAGGGGATCCCGTTCACCTTGATTATCTGGTCGCCTGGGCGGATCGCTTGGTCTGGATTGGCGGCATTCCAGGCAGCCACCGAGCCCTCACGCCGGATCTTGCTCACGGTGACAGGGACGTTGTCGTCCCCGACGTCCAGCTTCCAGCCCAGGGCCTTGGCGATGTTGAGGCCCTTGGCGAACTTCGGGACATGCAGAGCTGCCACGAAGTGTTTCGGGCTCGAGTCGTCCACCTGCACGAACGATTTCCTCTGAACGGCTCGGCTGGCGTTATCCGTTGATATTACTGCTGCAAGCAGTGAAGCCTTGATTGGGTGATCCTCGGTAGTTTGATCCTGCGGAGCTTCCGAGGTCGAGTCGGCCACCTCCTCCGTCTCAGTTCGATCCCTCTGCCTGTCCGAGCTCAAGTGGGTGTCCCCAGTAGCATTTGCATCCGCATCCATGCTGTGGCTGCCCGCGGTGGTTTCCGCAGACGGGACGTCCGCCTCCACGCGGCCCGAGCTCGTGTCGTTCTGGTTTCTGCTGACGTCGTCGTCGTGGTCATTTGCGGCCCTTCGCACATTCACCAACAAGCGCCTGGAGGCGATTGCCTGGGAGGCTGCGAACTGCTTGGCGATGTGGTCGGCGAATATCCTCGAGTTGTCATGCCAGTCGATCCCGTTCACCCCGCTGATCTGGTCGCCAGGGCGGATCGCTTGGCCTGGGTTGGCGGCATTCCAGGCAGCCACCGAGCCCTCACGCCGGATCTTGCTCACGGTGACAGGGACGTTGTCGTCCCCGACGTCCAGCTTCCAGCCCAGGGCCTTCGCGATGGTGAGGCCACCCGAGGCCTTCGGCAGTTCCAGCGTTGCCACGAAGCTGCGCATCTTCCCAGTGACCTAGAGAAACAAAAAACTGCATAAACATGATTTCTCGGGGGTCCGCGCAAATTTCTTGGATCGGCGCCGGGACCCCCCTCCCTGGCGCGCTGAACGCGCCAGAGGCGGCGCCGGAGGCGCCGCCAAGGGGGGTCCAGCGCGGATCCGAGAAATCTGCGGGGACCCCCTCGAAATCATGTTTATGTCGTTGCGTCTTCTTCGGTTCGGGGAGACGTAAGACTCGGGTACGGGGGACTCGGGTTGGCCTCACGGGGCCATCATGAAAATAACGGGACCCAATCTGAAATCTGACGCAAGCTCCCGCTGCACACATCCCACGAACGCAGGACCTCCAAACTCTAAGACGCGCTCGTCAAAAAACGTCGACAAACCCGAGTTCCGGCTTACTCGAGTCTTACATACTTTTCCCCGATCGGGGACCGCGTCTGTCTCCTTTTGCCCTCGCGGGGCCGCCGAGTCCGTGCGAGGCGCCACGGCAGCGCTGCCCTCCTCCTGGGCCCTGGGGCTCGCCGGGGTCGCCCCTGCCGCGCTCCCGCTCGCCTGCGGGACGCCCGCGTCCGTGCCGGCCTCGCTGCGCTGGACCTGGTCCTGGGGCGCGTCCGACGTGGAGCTGGCCACCTCCGCCTCGCGCTGATCCTCCTGCCCACCTAGGGAGCAGAATGGCGCCAACTGCAGTCGGGGCGTTGACGTAAGGCACCCTAAATAAGGAACGAGGCCCCTTCTTCCCATAGGTTGAGCTTCGACTTACCATCGAAGACCTGAGGAACAAATAGGCAAGCTGTGAACCCATTAAGGAACACTGAGCCCCTTCCCAACGAAAAGGATTCCTTCTTCAGGGCCCCGACTGTATACTCCTACACCGATCCTGGCCAGGCCCATCCTGGGCCCAGGAGCGGTGTATACGCCCTCCTGGCTTGGGCAGGAAGGTACATACTTCGATCTTGGGCCCTGGATCGGCCCGGCCAGAATCGGTGCAGGTGTATCGCTGGTGCCCTCCGGCAGGCTGACTACCTACCAAACCACCCGAACCCAACCCGAAGTCGCCGTCGGGCCTGTCAATGTCCAGTCGGGGGATAATAAGGGACAGAGGGAAAAAACATTGAACCCACACCCAGAAAACAAAGCGGGAACACATAGGGAAAAAAACATACATGTCGTTCATTTCTAATCGTGCTCATGTCTAATTATGGTCGATTCTAATTGCTCCTGGCCCCCTAGTGGCCAGGAAGAGGCCCAGAATAGAACAATTAGAAATGAAGGGATCTTGGCCCCAAAAAAAAACAAAAAACGTTCGAAGAATTAGAAATGAACAACGTGCAGGGACAAAAACATTGAACCCGCACACTCCCCCCCACACCCAAAGTGTGGGGGGGGGTCTGGGCCGTCGGGCTGTTGGAGGGGGGGGGGGTCCGGTAAGCAGTGGCAACCGGCATGAGCACCCCGTTGGACCCCCAAACCGCCAGCATGCGGTACAGTCGGGCTGGATTGGAAAGGACACGCGAGAGGACACAAGACCCCTCCGAGGGCCACATCGCCATAGGAATGCAGAAGGCATGGGCCGCGAGACACAGGACGAAAAGGGTACCTGAGGGTACCCTTGATTCGACAGGGTCGACCTACAAATCCGGGCCGACTGTAGAGAAACCTCCCAGGGCCTGGAAAAGCGGCCCCCAAAACAGCCCCGAGAAGCCTCACGACCACCACAGCCGGGAGCTCGTGACCCGCGGCCTCTGCTTGGGGTCGGCGGAGCGGCGTGCGCCTCTCGGCTAAACTCTTGGAGGCCCGCGCGGACTTCTCGGACCCGCGCCCGGGCCCCCTCCCCGGCGCGCGGAGAGCCAGGAGGGGCCCAGCGCGGCTCCGAGAAATCCGCGCGGACCTCGAACAGTTACGCAGAAGCCCGCAGGTGCGGATAAGAGTCGCGGGTGGGTCGCGGGTGGGTCGCGGGGCGGGTCGCGGGCAGCTCCCAGGCAGGTCGCGGGCGAGGACGACGACAATAACGCATCAGCAGTCCGCCCCGCGGAACCCTACTTCAACCACGCGCCCAGGCACAGTGGATGACCGTTCGGCTCCCTCACACTGACGTTTGCGCCGCTTTGTCGTTTCCGGCCACCCGAGCTCGAGCGCGCGGTCTCGGCAGAGGGAGCATCCGCCTCCGCGCGGGCAGCGGCGCCCACCTCACTCGGCCCCGAGCCGACGCCCTCGGCGGCCCTCTGCATCTTCAGGGTCAGGCGTCTGGAGGCCAGCCTCTGGGAGGCCTCGAACTGCTTGGCGATGCGGTCGGCGAACAGCATCGAGTTGTGGTTCCAGGGGATCCCGTTCACCTGAGGGGCAACGTGAAGGGGGAGGGAGACCGGCTCAGGGGGGTGGACACGTCGAGCTGGAGTCGGCGATGCATCGCCGACAGATCGGCGATAAAAAAATCCGACAGCGAATCTGGGCGGAGTGGGCTATCGTGCCCCCATCGGCGATCAATGGGCGAGCGGGGGTCGATGTGTTCCCCCTGGCGTTGCCCCGACGGTTTCGGGTCATAACTCGGCTCCCCAGTGGCCGTTCAGGACGATCCGGGCACCCCACGGAACGCTCTCTGCGAGGCGCAGCTGCCGCAGAGCATCCCGAGGCTAGGAAGCCGCCCGCCGAGACCCGCCGAAAACCTCAAAACCTCGAACCTCGAACCTCAAACCTCAAGCCTCGAGCCTCTCCTCCCTGAAGTTGCCCTTGATAACCTCGACGATCTTGTCGCCAGGGCGGATCGCATGATCCGGGTGGGCGGAGTTCCAGATGGCCACAGAGCCGGCGCGCCGGACCTTGTGGACGGTGAGCGGAACGCTGTCGCCCGCGACGTCCAGCTGCCAGCCCAAGATCTTCGCGATGCTGAGTCCCCCCATTGACTTGGGCACGTCCAGGGCCACCTCGAACTTCTCGGCAGACTGGGCGGCCGCGATGTGGCCGATCGCCGACATGAGCTCGGCGGCTCTAGTGCCGTTCCGCGCCTCGGGGTCGCCCGCATCCGCGACGACGTCTCCCGCCTTGCTCTGAGCCCGAGGCGGCTCCGAGCTCGAGGGGGCCTCCTCCGCCTGGCTCCCATCCTCGCGCGGGGCGCCTGCGTCCAAGCTGGCCCTGGCGGCCTCGGCCTGGTTCTGCGGAGCACCTGAGCCCGGGGGAGCCGCCTCCGTCTCCTCCCGATCTCCCTGGCTGGCCGAGCTCGCACTCGCAGCCTTGCTGGCAGGGGCGTCCGCATTCGCGCCGGCAGGGCTCGCCACATCGCTCTTCTCAGCGCCGACGTCCTCGGCGCCCGCCGACGCCTGTAGCACCTCCACGTACAGGCGCCTGGAGGCGACTGCCTGGGAGGCTGCGAACTGCTTGGCGATGTGGTCGGCGAACAGCATCGAGTTGTGGTTCCAGCGGATCCCGTTCACCGTCTTGATCTGGTCGCCGGGGCCGATCGCTTTCCCTGGGTTGGCGGCATTCCAGGCAGCCACCGAACCCTCGCGCCGGACTTTGCCGATGGTGATAGGGGCGCTGTCGTCCGCGACGTCCAGCTTCCAGCCCAAGACCTTCGCGATGGTGAGGCCATCCGAGTTCTTCGGCAGTTCCAGGGCTGCCACGAAGCTGCGCGTCTTCCCGCTCTCCGCCGCCGCCCTCGGGCGGGCCGCCTCCGCCGCACCGTGTTCCTCGAGGGTTCGAGGACAGGAAGAGTCCCCGGGTCGCGCTTTCGATGTGAGGCACCGACCGCTGAACTCGATTGCAGGGCACCCTTCCGTTTCACACATGGTACCACTGATTGTTGCTTGAAGGTCATCGAGCTGACGGCTCTGCTCTCGACGGCCCCCGTTTTTTAGAACATCTGAGGGCTCACTGTTTCAGTCAAGGCAGGTCAAGTCAAACCGTAGGCTGCGGCAGCCCATGGGCACGTGCACGGGGCATGGACCGGGCTCCCGTCATTGACGGCATCCACCCTTCAAGCTGCACAACGCAGCTGTGGCTGCGCCGTGGTGCAGCGCGCAAAGGCCCGCTGCAGGGGTGCACGCAAAAACTTCGCGTGGCGTGTGGGGGCCCTTGGCCCGTGCCCCTGCCTCAGCCCCCGCCTCCGTCTGCCTCTGCCGCACGCCCCGCCCCGAGGTCCTACGCTGTGGAGAAGCTGCTGCCCGCCCAGGGTGCGAACGCGCGTGGTAGTCTTCGCCGTCCCCCGGGCCCCGTTTCCCCACCTTCTCCTCCCCGGGGGTCCCAATATCCCCCCGCTGGAGCGGAGGGGGGCGGGTAGGGCGCCCAAACCCCGCTCTCCAGAGAGCCCCTGGCGGAGCCCCAAAAAAAAGAGCGCCACAGGGACCCCTTGATCGGGGATTGCCAAAGGTGCCCCTGGCCCAAGGTGTCCCCAGTTTTTAGCTCAACGTTGGAGCCCCATCGGCCCTCTGGGCTTCGTGAGGAGTGTTTTGGAGGCCGTGGTGGCTCCTTGGAAATCCTGGGGACACCTTATGCCAAGGGCACTTCTGACAACACCCGACTTGAGGAGCTTGCACAACCCCAGGGCGGCAACCACACACGCGCAACAGGTCGGTCACACGTCCGATGTCCGCTTGTGAGGAATACATAAAACATGAGTAACAACGCCCCCCTCGCCCGGCTGATGAATGAGGCCCGCGGGCCGCGAACTTTTTCATCTCGCCCATTCGGAAGATGGCGCGCGACCACCACGAGAGAGAATGGAATACGCGCGTCGCGTCCGAGCGGGGGCAGACGTGCACGGCACGGCGCGATGCAAGTGCGCCTCGCCTCTATAGCGCTGCGTATGCAAAGCTATCACTATCGCAGCCGCGCTTGTTCAGCTCGCCCGCCGAAAGACGGCGCGCGACAGCCGTGAAGGCGAACGGAAAGCCACGTGCCGCATACGAGCGGGAGCAGTTGTGCACGGCGCAGCGTGGTGCAAATGTGTTCCCTGTCTCTCCCTGCACAGTCCCCCTTCGTCGCCCTCGCAGCCTACCTGCGCAAGGAGCTGGGAGGAGACGTCTGCGCGCGCCCCCCGCCCCACCCTGCCCACCACCCCCTTCCCCACCTGAAGAACAAACAACAAAAAACAACAAAAAACAACAACAGCAGCAACAACAACAACATCAGCAGCAGCAGCAGCAGCAACAACAACAACAACAACAACAACAACAACAACCATTTTAAGGCTGTACGCTCTTACTTGCCCGCGAGTCATTCAACACGTATACCCTACACCCTCGATACCCGCCCTCTTCGTCTTCGATCACACCCCTTTCGAGGGAATTATTTCTCTTTGCTGGGGCCGGCGGGCTTAGACGTACGGGCAAACCGTAACGGGCGGACAATCCTTCGGGGGCGTACATCTCTCTGCCCGCCATTGGAATTGGCGCGGGCCCTGCAAGAGGAGGAGGGGAAGAACGAGGGAGAGTGGGAGGAAGGGGAGGGGGAAGGACGAAGGAAGAGGGAAGATACCACGTTGTGAAGGCGTCCTTGGCGCGCGCGTGGTTCCTGAGCGCCGAAACGCAATTCCAGAATAATTTGTGAGGACGTCGCACGCGAGAGCGCAGTCCTGAGTACATTGTGAGGAAATCTCAAGCGGAAGCGGGGGCCCTGACTAAGTTGCGAGGAAGTCTCAAGCGGGAGCGCCGTTCCTGAGCAAATTGCACGGAAGTCTCAGGCGGGAGCGGGGGTCCTCACTAAATTGCGAGGAAGTCTCAGGCGGGAGCGCCGTTCCTGAGTCAATTGCGCGGAAATGTCAGGCAGGAGCGGGGGTCCTGAGTAAAATTCGAAGAAGTCTCAGGCGGGAGCGCCGTTCCCACGTAAATTGCACGGAAGTCTCAGGCGGGAGCGGGGGTCTTGATTACATTGCGAGGAAGTCTCAAACGGGAGCGCCTTTCCTGAGTAAATTGCGCGGAAGTCTCAGGCGGGAGCGGGGGTCTTGATTACATTGCGAGGAAGTCTCAAACGGGAGCGCCTTTCCTGAGTAAATTGCGCGGAAGTCTCAGGCGGGAGCGGGGGTCCTGAGTAAAAATCGAGGAAGTCTCAGGCGGGAGCCGTTGTTGTTGTAGCCCGGGGGGCAGGGGCACAGTTTGAGCAGGAAGACTTTTCTTGAGAAAAAACAAAGTGCGAGCCCAGGGGGTGGCACTTCAATCAAAAAAACAATGTGCACCGGTGGGGGGGATCAACAATAATTATTCTTCAAAAATGAGAGTTCAACAACAACAACAACAACAACAGCAACAACAACAACAAACAACACAACAACAACAACAACAACACCAACAACAACAACAACAACAACAAACAACAAATAACAAACAACAAACAACAAACAACAAACAACAAACAACAAACAACAAACAACAAACAACAAACAACAAACAACAAACAACAAAAAACAACAACAACAACAACAACAACAACAACAACAACGACAACAACAACAACAACGACGACGACAACGACAACACCAACGACAACGACAACTACAACAACAATTCGCCGGCCCAGCGGGCCAGAGGCGTGCTAAGATCTCCGGTGCCTGGTTAACAATAATTCTAGTTCGCGCGCGCGGGGCGGCCCCTGGGCCCCCCCCGTCGAAAAGTACCCCGACCGCAGCCTGGGAACTATTACTCAGAGGTGGCCCCCCTCCTGGGCGCGGCCTCCCACGCCCCCCGGAACGCGCCAAGAGGGCCAAAAGAAGCCCCCAAGACAGTCCAAGAGGGCTCCGAATCACCGAACGATCGGCCCAAGACGCCCAACGCGGCGTCAAGACGGCCCAAGAGGCCTCCAAGACGTCCCAAGAGAGCCCCGACCCTTCCAAAGAGAGCCCCAAGACGCAAAAATCCATGATTGTCCTAAGGTTTTTGAAAGTGTTCGGCTTCCTCGCCTTTTCGCCTCTCCGACGCTCCAAGACGGCCCAAGAGGCCCCCAAAAACCGCCCCAAGACGGCCCAAGAGGCCCCCAAGAGGGCCCCAAGACCGCCCAAGAGGGCCCCGAGACACCCTAAAAGGCGCCCAAGAGGGCCCCAAGAGGGCCCCAAGAGGGGCCCAAGATGGAGACCACGAACCGAAAATCCGAGCCCCCCACCCCACGAGGCCCCCAGGACGCCCCAAGAGGCCCCCAAGAGGCCCCAAGAGGCGCCAAAAAGCCCGAATGAGATCCCAAAAGGCTCCAAAACGGAGCTCCAAGAGGCAAACCTTAGTGATTTCCATTAGGTTTCTGAAGGTTGTTGGCCCCCTCGCCTTTTCGCGTTTCCGACGCTCCAAGACGGCCCAAGGGGCCCCCAACAAGCCCCCGAGACCACCCCAAGACGGCCCAGGAGACCCCCAAGAGAGCCCCAAGACCGCCCAAGAGAGCTTCAAGACAGCCCAGGAGGCGCCCAAGACGGCCCAAGAGGGCCCCACGAGGAGCCCGAGATGGAGACCACGAGCCGAAAATCCGAGCCTTCCGCTCCAAGAGGCCCCCAGGACGCCCCAAGAGGCCCCCTAAGAGGCCCCGAGAGGCGCCAAGAGGCCCGAAAGATGCCCCAGAAGGCTCCAAAACAGAGACCTAAAGGGCAAAACTCAACGATTTCCACTAGGCGCCTGAAGGTGCGTGGCTTCCTCGCGCCTCGCCTTCCCGACGCCCCAAGACGGCCCAAGAGGCCCCCAATAGCGCCCCAAGGCAGCCCAGGAGGCCTCCAAAAAGGCCCCATGACGGCCCAAGAAGGCCCCGAGACGGCCCAAGAGGCACCGAGACGGCCCAGGAGAGCCCCAAAACGGCCCCAAGAGGGGCCCAAGAGAGGGACCACGAACCGAAAACTTCAGCTTTCTGCCCCAAGAGGGCACCAGGACGCCCCGAGAGGCCCCCAAGAGGCCCAAGAGGCCGCCAAGAGGCTCCCAGGAGGCCCCAGAAAGCTTCCAGGCGCCTCCGAACGGCGTCTCAAACGATCCCAAAACGCCTCCCAAACGGCACCTCCTCCTTCTCGCCTCCTCCACCTCGCACCCTAAAGCTCCGCAATCCTCACCCAAAGCCTCCGCAATGCCACGCAAGATCCTGGCGGATGTGCGCGACAGCGCCATGGAACAAAATCACATTTGATTTCAGAACCTGGCTCAGGAAAGCGCGCTGCCGCCAACGCTTGATCGGCATCGGCAGCATCATCAGCAGCAACTGAATCAAACATGCGCAGACCCCTGCAGCTCCGCACTGCCGACGACCTCTCGCCCAATCGACCGCGGTGCCTCATCATGGGCCGGCGGAATGAGCGAAACGATCAAATAACAAGTACAGCAACGACAACAACAACAACAACAACAACACGTTTAAGACTGTTCGCCCTTTATATGCTCGAGTGTTCAATAACGCGTGCTTCCCAAACCCTCGATACCCGCCATCTTCGTCTTCGATCGAACCTCTTTGGGGAGGTATACCTTTCTTCCCTGCAGGCCGGGCCCCGGCAAGCGGCGGGGCGGCCGCGGACCGTCGGCCTGGCCAGCGGCAGCGCTGATCGGCGGGGCGGCCGCGGACCGTCGACCCGACCCCAAGAGGGACGGACAGGGGGGACGACGACGACGACGACGACGACGACGACGACGACGACGACGACGACGACGACGGCGACGACGAGCGAAAGCGAGAGCGAGAGAGAACGACAGCAGGGCCACGAAGGGCACGAAGTAGGCCACGAAGGGCGACAGCGGGG